TTATTTTATATAAAATAATAATAAAAAAGGAAACATTCACTTCTAATTTTCTCTACATTGCCTGACAGTTTGCCCCTGGCTGCTCTTTGATGTGTTAAATATGCACGCCTTGCATCATCTCCATTCTTATCAACACTTATCCAGACTTTTAGCCTCTTCTTCAGTTTTCAGCTCAGAGCAGGGAGTGTATAAGGGAAGAAGAACATTTGGGTTCCTGAAGAGAAGAAAGCTGCTGTTGTCCTCATGGGAACCAGCTAGTGCGGTAAAGGTTGTATTCTCCTCTGTGTGCACGCACGTGGAATAAGGGAGGAGAAAACACTCCTCTCCTTAAAGCCAAGACCATCCTGAATTAGTTAATTAAAGCAGTTTGCTGCCAAAACATTAGCTCATTCCCCAGCTTGTTTTGTCATTAGCTGAGCTGGGGCCCCTGCACCGGCCTCCTCCTCGCCACGAGAAAATAAAAGACACGCATCATGCCTCTATTACTGAATTTATAAGAAACATACACTTTATAAATCCTTGCATAGGATTAAATAAAGCACATGGTCAAAAACTACTTTTYCCCCCAATAAACTAAAACAAAAAGGGCTTTATTTGGGTTATGTAACAGTAAAGCTAGGTTTGCACCACAAAAGTATTTTTTTTTTAAATCATAGGCTCCAGATCTGGTGCACAAACTGCTAAAAACATGCTTTCATGGTCTTATATAAATACATAATATTGGGAGCGGATTCCACGTCTGTGATCTCGCGAGATTTCATGGTTACTATGGTTTCTCACGCGCAGCGTTTTCCTTATTTGACCAAGACCGTACCAAAAATAGAACCAGTTTGGGGGTGCACACCGGAACCCCAAAAAGTTAAACATAGTCATTTATTAAATGAAATCACAATGTTAGAATTTTAATTTAGAATAAATATATTTTTGACATGTTTATTTTATTTGTGAGCTTTCTTATGTGCCTCTAGTGTAGATTTAGCTCCGTGTTAGATTTAAGCTAGCTGATGGTTTCACCCGCGCGAACATTGAAAGTTTCAGTGAAAGCTGAAACGACCGTTCGTTGTTTTCTTCGACCAARCTTCGTGAAAAGTGAACCTGCCGGGTTTTATTTGCCATTTAATGGGTTGTTKTAACAGCTGGGTAAGTTACCTCTTTTTCCTTTGAACGAAAAATAGTTATTTAAAAATAACRCACGTGACCTCCTGTGAACTGTCGCTAGCTAAAACTAGCGTTTGTATTAATACACCTTTCAGCTCTTGTTTTAATGTTATGTTGTTATAACCTTGGTAATATCAGTAACTTTTGTTTATTCTTTAAATCAGGAGTGGTTTTTGCCGGTTGTAGTGTCGCACTCAGGCCTGAAACTAGTAGTTTTTTTAATATCATCATGTTTAGACATCTTTACTCAACACGGTGATTTCCAGAAATGTTGCTTGTATGAAACCTGTTGCATAAGAGAAGGATGTCCACTTCTGCACTGCAGGATATGGAGTCTGGTTTAAAGGTCACAGCGGGCTTCACCCTGTAGAGTTGTTGCTGTGTTTACACCCAGCCTTTTAACCTGAGCAGAGGAAAACAATTCCCTTTTCTGAGTCAGAGGAGAGGAAGTTTAGGCCTGAAATGTGCTGTTGTAGTCCACTGTCCCTTCCTGAACTGACCCAGACTGTCCTTTTTTTCCTTTCTCAGCAGACTGAGTCAGCTCCCAGGCTTTAAGCAACAAAGCAGGAGTTTTTCTTTGGTAAGTAACAGAAATGATTCAGCTCTGTAAAGTTACAGATTCAATATTAGACATCTGAACAGATAACTTGACCTTAACGCAGCCTCTCAGTGTAAGAGGTTTTGCTCAGTCCTGTCATCTTTCTCGGCTCCAGTGTGAATCACTTACAGACGTTGTCCCCCTCGGGTCACGGCAACAAACACGCCACCTTGTAATTTCCATTCTTAACCATTCCCAGGCCAGGAATGCACGTCCTGCAGCCTAGAAAAGGCACTTTATTTGTCAGCATGGAGTTTGCTTTAYGAGCTTCCTAATGGGCAAAACCTTCACCCAGAAAAACCAAGAAAAACAKTTAATGTTGCTGAAGCTCTTTAACATCTCTTTATGTTTTTTATTGTGATTTATTTACCATATTTTACATTTCAAACACCAGYAGTTCTTTATGACAGAGTGTGTCTACTGGTGGTGGAAGTCTGACCACTAGTTTTTTTTTATTTTTGTAGTCAGAATATGGACTTTGTTTTTTTTCCCCATTTAGTCAAGGGCAAAAAGAAGTGGTTTGAATATTATGGGTCTGGAAAGAAGCTCAAGTCAGAGACCCWCCACAACCCACCAGTGTCCTGCTCAGTGGGGGGACTATTTTCAGTGGTAGTGAAGCAGGAAATGGGAAACATTATGCAATTGAAACATGTTGTCATGTTGAATGATTATAATTTACTGGCACTGCAGCCTTTTGTTTTTAAAAGCTACCTATCTTGGAAAAGGATTATTTTTAGACCGGTTAAATACCTTCACACTGAGTGGTTCTTAAGGAAACACATGTACGGTCGATGCTTTCTCAGAATTAGCACCCCCACCCAAGCACTGCCCACCTTATTTCATAGAGAAGCTTTGCAGATCATTCAGTCCACACTGTACTGGAGCTAAAGTCTCGAGGATTACAATTTGTTGGAAGCTTTATAATCAAATCAGCAGCACCTAAAAGTCAAAAGTTTTTGACACAACGTTAATTTAATTTACTTTATTTCACTTGAATTAAAAGTGAACTATTTTGGACACACTCTTCCTCACATCTTCATCAGGGCTGCATGATAGTGAGTAAAACTCACATTGTGATGTTTTTCTAGCACTGCCATCTTGTTGACAGTGAACCTGCATCAGTCTTATCTCATTTTGTGTGTTTTAGTCTGTATTTGAGAGGTATTCTTCTTATCTTATGGTTTTTTTTCCTCCAGTTATCTGAGAATTTTCTTATCTTCCCTCATTTTCTTGAAAATCCTCGTCAACTTCCTCCACAGCTCGAGAATTCAGTAAATACGTTTCCAAAAAACGGTGCCATTATTGTYCTMGAAGTTTCCCGACGAAATTAAARTTTTTAATTTTTTTGACACGAAGCAACCCGTCAAAATAAAAGTCCTAACACGTGGTGGTTTTGTGCAGTGACTTATGGTTTATCCCTGATAACATGTTAATGTAATTTGCCTCCTTCATCGCTGCACCTTTCCGCACGTTGTGATGACGATGCTCAAACTGTGTATCATGCAGCTCTAGGTGACCACAATCAAATATCTTCATCTGTATCATTCCAGTGACCTCACGTTGTCTGCAAACACAGCCAGAACCATAAGCAGGCCAGCTTTAGTTCTGAAACAAAAGATAATTCCTATGTTTTCCTTTCTCTTTGTCTCCCTTTTACTATGATCATCTTTAAATAGCCTTAAGATCACTAAAATATAGCATCTCTAAGTTGAATGGTTTTGATTTAGGAAATAAAAGATCTGTTAGTTAAACTTTTATTAAACAACCAGTGTTGTATAAAGTACCTCCATAGTGATACTTCAGTAAAAGTACAAGTATCTTATCATAAAAATACTTTGGTAAAAGTTAAAGTCTTCTAAAAATATTACTTGAGTAAAAGCCTTAAAGTATCTGATATTTTTTGTACTTAAGCATCAAAAGTAAATTTCTAACACAAAATCTACTTAAGAATTAAAAGTAAAAGTACTGAGTAAAAGTGAGCAGTTAGATTTTCCAAAATGACATTTATTGGGAGGTGACTTCTCCAAAAAAAATATATGTGATGGGTTGTGTACAAGCTAATAGAGTGTCAGAATGGTATATAGTTATACTTCTCATCCAAACACAATTAAACTCACTCTGTCCAGGAGACACAATTTATCAGGATAGTATTTTTTAAGTAATAACAACTTGGAATAAAATAGGAGTAACGACTTTCTACTTCTTACCTTTTTTTAAAAATGTAGTGAGTAGAAAGTACAGATAATTGTGTAAAAATGTAACGAGTAAAAGTAAAAAATATGCTGAAAAGTAACTACTCAAGTAAAGTACAGATGACCAAAGTTTCTACTTAAGTACAGTAACAAATTTCTACTTAAGTACAGTAACAAAGTACTTGTACTTAGTTACTTTACAACTCTGTAAACAACACAACAAACCAGCATGTTGTGTTGCAGAGTCAGCAGCCTTGCTTGTCGCTCCGTCTGAGGTTTGGTTTTCCATGTTTTTTCTGTCGCGGTGTCGTTTTATTTTCTTTTTGTGTGTTCGTGTTTACATTTTAGTATTTTGGTCCTTGTGGTGGTGCCATGTTGTAGATTTAGCTTGTCTGGAGAAAAAAAGGGGGAATCCTTTCTAATTTTGGTCTATGGTAGCTGTCAGCCTTGCATGTTACAGTTAGTGCCCAGGCCGTTACCACAGGAGCAAGCTGAAACGTGTCATTTGGATTATTACGTCAGCCTGCCCATATGCAATTGCAATGTAGTTTGAATWAAAAAAAACCCTTCTGTAACTAATGATGTCTTTTGAGACCTCCCTGCACATTAAAGCTGTTAAACAGAAACTTTTCGGTGAACTGGAAAATGTTTTTTCTGTTGAAGCCAGCATACCGTACATCCCAATGAGCAGCTCTGTAATAACTGGGTGTTTTGGGTTAGTTTATGCTCCACTGGCTGCAGGCTCGGATATTATAGCTACAGAACAGCGTAGCAAAACATGGTATTTCAAAACGCAATACAGTTGGTGCCAAGTTGATGATTTTCTCAAATTTAACACACTAAGAGGTTAAAGTTTATGGGAGCACTGGCTGAAACGCTGCCCTTGTTGCAGGAAGCGTCCAGAGAATGACCTGAACCGTCTGTTTTCAAAACATTTCCTTGTTTCTCTGGATGCTTGTCTGTTTTCTGTCCTCCTTTTTTATTTTATTAAGTCAGTGTTGTTTTTTTGCTGCTATTTGTTCATCATCAAAACTAGTCGGGTATTTATGACCCCCGCACGTGAAGCATAAGCGAGAGTCATATTGTTTTCGTACTGTTTATTTTATTTATTTATTTTATTTCAGTGATTTTTGGTCAACCGTAGCACAAAAACAGCTGCACCAGTCAACATGAAATTTGGCAGGACTGTAGATGAGTCTGACCTACACTGCTCCGGCCATTGGTTTTATGATAGACCCCATATTCGAGGAGGGGGCTCCATCTGAAAAGTGGGTGTCTGGACATACAAAAGCGCTTATAACTCAAAAACTATTCAACATAGAAGCTTCAGTTTTTTTTTTTTTTTGTTTTTTTTTTGTTGTTGTTGTTTAGCTCTGATGAAGGGCTATCCATCGGGCCCACCACTGAGCCCTCCGCCATCCCCTCCCGACCCACACCCAAAACAATAAATCTGTTTTGGTGACTTCTGAGGTCTAGTGCATTGGTGCTTTGCGTATGTACGGGGGTCATATTTGCTTCCGCTATGCGRTGTCTAGTTAAAAGCTTGGAAATTCATCCCAAAATAAAACTCAAAGCAAAAAGGTACAACTTACACAGTACAACGTTTAACTAATTATTGAAGGAAATTATGTAAATAACTGAGAAAATGCTGAATGACTCCTGAAAGAATCTGAAACTAAGTTCTTTAAGCTACAAGGAAGAAAACACTAGCTATAAGCAAAACTATAGCYAACAGCAGATAAAAAAGCAAACTAGCTAAAACCAAAATGAGATAACCACTAGCTACATAGCACAATGCTAACTAAAAGTATCCAACAGTTAGCTAAAATCTAAATGGATCATGAGAAGACAAAATCAGAGCAAGTATCCTAAAGTTCAGCTTGTTTATCTTTATATTTCTCTTCACTTTAAGCCTCATTTGTACCAAATTTCCTCAGCTGTTCAGAGTCATGTGGCTGGAGTTCCCTCCTCTCTTTGGGTGCTCCAGATTGGGCRTGTCGCCAACCCCTCAAGGAATGAGGGCAGTGTGACTCGTCCTGGCAGGCTTAGTCTCTGGTTTTACTGTACAATGGAGGTCAGCAGCTTAGGCGCTGCGTGCAGACAGCTGGTGTTGGGTCGGAGAGAAGAAGTGAGCTGGAGACAAACTCAGAGGCACACCGTGCTTCTGTTTGTCTAAAACACTGTGACCTTTTCAGGTTTTGTGCTGCCTTTACAAGTTAGTGAAAAAATTATTTTTACTCATGCATACTTTTTAAATACCAAATAATAACTGATATTTCTATCCAAATACTCAGGTTGAGTCATCGTTTGAAATGAAATCAGAGCCTGGGAACCAGACGTTTTAAGACTTAAACGCTGCTGATTACTCAGATTAGAGGTGTATTTTATGAGGCAAGTGTTCTCATCAGTTTACCTTCAGTTCCTGTCGGCTGATGCTGCTGTGCAGTTGTGTGTAGGTGTGTTTATGTATTTCTGTCGGCTCCACCCTTCTAAGACAAATGACAGCAGTTTAGATGCTAACCCTCCTCTCATGATTCCTGCTTGTTCGCTGCACACAGAGCGACGGGCCTTCTCCTGCTGTCATCAGTGCCTCCGGTGGTTTTCAGGTCACATGCTTTTGGTGAACCATTATCTCCCCTGCCCCTCCTCACTGGACCCACTGACCTACTAACTGCTCAAACAAACAGCCGTAAACACATCGGTGTGTTACAGATCTGCATCGTGTTGACATCATTGGAATAATTGATGTTTCCTGAATAGAAGCCTGTCATCGTCGGGACTTGTTTGATC